CGTGGGAGCACAGGCTGTAGGCTGTGGTATAATAAATCTCCCTGCCTGCAGCCTGACTCTGTTTCCTCATCAAAGTTACACCAAATTTCAATAGCAAGAACTGCACAAGAAGGTAAGCAAAACTGAAATAGGAAAACCAGGTCATGTCAGTAGTCTGAGTATAATAGGTAGACTAAAACAGACTCTACTTAGTTAACAGTGAACATAAATAGAATAACAGAGGCCATACGAGAAAGGCACAAAAGCACAAAAACTGCCAAACATTTGAGCGTCAGATGTTAATGATGATCAAAGCTTATACAACAGATTCTGGAGAAGTCAGTGCCTTTACCCAGCTCTGTGTTGAACTGCCCTAACATTTAAAAGCAGGTAGTAAGTACCAAAGACTGGTTTCTTGTCCCCTACAAATTTGTTCAAGGTCCTCACAAGATTGCCTCACCAATTGGCCCTTCAGAGGCAATGCTCACAAATCTTAACATTTGATCAGGATGTGTGTAATTAGTCAATACGACTTGTTCTACACAGAAAGCAAATCTGTTTTACGGAAACAGTCTTCTCTGAGCAAAGATGCACAGCAGTCAGTAGCTGAAGAGAGCTCTGAGCTTTAAAAATATGGCTGGTTATTTCAGAGCTGAAGTACAAACTCATTTCCTCTCCCAGATGGTAACTATCTCTCTGATGGAGATAGTTTAGTGATACCAACTAGCAGGCCTCAAATACCCAGCACAACCATTTTACGTTAATAAATAATGGCCCATCTTCGCGAACGAAGATTTGGGGAAAGGTCTTTTTACCTTTCCAGCCTGCGCAATGGATTTTTTAGGTGAGACACAGCCTGCGCTGAACTGAGCCCACCCTTTAATCCTAAGGTTCATCTGCCGGGGCCAAGCAAGCTTGGACAATGGCAGTGAGGTCCTCAGGACGTAGGTTTGTTTAGAGTGTCCTTCTCATAGATGGATGGCCTCACAGGGCTAACGGGTTCCATCTGCCCGGGAGGGACTGGGAATCGAACCCGGGTCGCAGCGGTGAGAGTCCCGCATGCTAACCACTAGGCCACCAGGGGTCCCTACCATTTTACGTGCTCACACTGAATTTGACAGAATGTCCTTGTGTCTATGTTGTTTGGAAGGGTGGAGGCAAGACGGAATGCTTTCTGACCTTGCTTTAACTAATGAGCACCAGACAATCTTCAGTCAACCCATAGTGAAGACAAGGTTTTAGTTTTACCCAAATATGAACACAATAAGATGGACATAATTCTGCTTTTCGGGGCAAGACTCCCTCTGCTTACTTCAGTGAACCACCAAAGAGTACTCTCGTACCTGTGCGTTTACCTGGGACAGTTGAAATGCACTGTAGATAAAAATTACCAAACACACAAAAAGCCCACAATTTTTTTTTCCCCCCATTTTTTTTAAAAAAGTTAATCACTACATGAAAGTATTCAAGGGCTGAGACCAATTTGTTCATACTTGAGAACTCAATACAGGTGCACAGAGTAAGCAGATAGTAAATTCAGTGCTGCAGTATGGCCACCAGCTGCAGAAGGGACAGCAGTAACATCCTCAATGGAAGGGAAATGACGGCCACCAGTGATTTACTAACATAGTTTGGATTCTCGGTACAAAACTGATTTCAGATTTGTGCAACTGTTTGATTGTGCCTGGCAATACTATGGCGGAGGTCACTGTAGTCTCAAGGGTAAAGACACAGAGCCATTTACTGCCTATCCAGATCCCAACACATTTCCATTGCAGCACCTTTAACAAGAATATCAAAACCAGGTAAGACTTAGTGCACCATAAATCTGCTGCCAGTTCACTGGGAAGATCCCAAACTGCATGTTAAAGCTAAATCTTTAGTCTTTGAGGAATCACGGTTAGCTTGAAAACCAATGGCAACTACAAACAAAACCAGCACCCAGAACGTTTAAACCATACATACTGTTCAGTCACACAAATCCCCAGCTAGTATTCCTGGGGATGTGTAGCTTCTTTTGCTACAATTGACTTTTTTCTCTTTTATTAAAGGATGCTGATATAAAACCCAGAGGCACATGAAAATAAACACAGGCAGCTGATAAAAACAAGCAGCAGTGCATTGTGCCTGTTACTACACTAGTCAGTCAGCATGCACAGTAATTACTCGAATGCTGCTCCCCTTAATATTCCCATATGGTATGGTTTCACTTTGATATTTAGGAACTCATCCACCATTTTTAGACTTGTAGCCCATCCAACGCTGAGGAACTTTCATGAGACAGATTTTAGGGTAGCAGAGACTAGCAAGGGATCTTATCTTGTTAGTTACATTGTTCTTGGTCTTCAAGGTAGTTCACCTACCTTTGTGCTAAATATGTCCTGAGAAAAGCCAAGTGACAGCAGAGGGTAGCGTTTTCTTTGACAAGAGTGACTGTACCAAGGACTTCCTCAGTCAAGTTTTCCACACTCCCACCAAGGATCAGTCTAGTCTCTGAGATGCTGTTAGCATCCTATGTCCCTGATCAGTGGTAAAATAAATAATGGCTATTACAACCTTAAGACTCTTATGGGCTCTCTGTTGGTATCCACAAGGGATCATATGGCTTGATAGTTTATTACTATGCATAGCGAATTTCCCCAGTAAAATTAAGGTCAGGCTTTAAAGGGAAAAACATATTTTCCAAAGGACAGCAGTATAAATGCAACTCTGATGCCTTTTGATCTGAGGTCTGCTTTGCTAGTTGTGGTGTATCTTTGTCAGAACAATAGGTCTTTAGAGTAGATTAATCCAAGAATATATGTGACAAAGTTTTACCCAAGTATTTATATTATGCGCCCAGCCAGCCCATATGATTTTACAGGCGTTCATGTGATTGAATTGTGCTTGCTCCTGAAGAAGCTGTTTGGTTTTTTTAATGGAATAGTTCACATTTTTGTCTGAAAGTTGCTGCTATGAACACACCTAGTCCAGAAGATGATTCCATGGTGTTAGGTCAGCTTCAGGGAAAGCTTTGCATTTCCCCCTTATCCTATTAGCCCGTGAGATTAATCTTTCAGGTTTCAAAGAATAACATTACTCCACCAAGACCTGGCTGTCTCAGGGAGCCCATGCTCAATGGAGTGCAGGCACATAGAATCATAGAACTGTTTAGGTTGGAAAAGAGAGATCATCGAGTCAAACACAGTTGATGTTAGTGACTGGAGACTGGCTGATCCAAGAAAACCCAAATTGCCTTGCAAAGCCAGACATGGGAGCCAGTGGCTGCAGTGACAAAGACTCATTGTCCAGTTTTCTCCTTGCTTTCCCCAGATTTTTATGCTCTCAAAACTGGATGATCAGAATGAAAGAAGAACGGAAGGATTTAGGGAGCAGAAAAGGGAAACTTCAATAAATAATAAATTAAAAGGGAAATCTTGTAATCTACTTCACCCCATATAGTGTCTTGTTTTCCCAAGAGACTTAGTTCTTTCATACAGCAGGCAGGTTATGGTACTTTCTCCATAAGCAATTCCATCAGTTAAGATCCACATAATCTGTTGCCCCATGTGGCAGCATTGATTAGGCCCTGTCTTGGGACAATTACTGCTCAGTGCAATTCAGGGAAGTGCTCTTCCTCTTCAGTGGTCCTCACTGAGAATCCTGAAAAGGCAAAGGATGAAGGAGACAGAGAAACATCAAACGGGCTAGGCTTTATTTAAGGACCTTAGTAGACGATGTTTTAAAAATAACCAAGTAGGTTTTTCTCATGCCTAAATGGAACCCATTCTTTTTGCCTTGTAGAAAGTCTAGCATATTGTTTTCATAATCAAGTTATTTGGATAACAAAACAACGATTTAGATTAGGATTTGTTTACACAGCTAAATATGTTGAGTAATGAAATTAAAATAAGCTCTGTGCTTCTGTCACATCTGCGATAGTGACTGGCTTCTTATGGTTGAGTACAAGCCTGCTGCACAGATGTTTCTTGATAAGGTATAAATCTGTGTTAGATGTTGTTTATTGCAGCATTTTTATTGCCTTCTTCCCTGAAGGAGGGAATGTTGCCTGCACAAGGCAACCAGATGTGACCTGCAATGAAGTACCATTACAAGCAAAAACAGGTCCCATATTCCATATCAGCATCTGCAATGGCTCATCAAGTATTTATCAGATCATTTGAACACTTCTACAGGCCCTAGCATCATATCATCACCAGAATTTACTTATTATAACCTGCAATGAAAAAGGCGAGCATCCTGTAAAGCGACTGGTGCCTCAAATAGCAGGAGATCCCATTTTAGTTTGGTTTCCTGCCTTAAAGGTCAAATTCCTGAGCAAACACTGCTACTAGAAAGTAAGATACTGTGATAGATCAAGGCAGCTGCTTTTCAGGGCATTGCAGGGAAGAATTTCTCTTTTCTGCCGTCCTGCCCCAGGTGATATCAATCCTTTGATGGTGACAGGGGAAGAGACTTATCTCGTACTGGTGCCTATGCCAGAAGTGCGACAAGGGAGTTTCTTCCCTGGGGAAGGTGGCACAGCTTGGAGCACCTCACTGAGTGGTTCTGCTCCTGTGGGAGCAAGAGGATCTAACAGGAAAAACTTGCCAATGACCCCAGCATTTGAAGACAGCCAAGCCTGGCCCCGGAGCCACAGTGGGTCCTTCTCTGTAGCTGATGAAAGTAACACCCATGGGCTCTGAAGGAAAAGAGAGACAAACTTTTCAAGGTGTACTTCTTGGAAAGTTTCTTGAAGGAAAACCTGACATTTCCTATTTAAAAAAAAGAGGGGGGGTGGGCAGCAGGATGGGTTATTCTTCCCTGAGCTAATCTACGTCTCTGATTTGCTTCACTTGTTACACAGACAGAAGATCCTGTCAACACAGAAATAATGCCAAGTATTTACGGTTTAATGGAACCCAGGGACCAATTAACAACATAGAAAACCACCGGGCAGTGTATTTCTTATCGTAACAGGAGGGAAATCTTACATTACTGCTGTTCCCCCATTTCTTAAAATAAAGCACCAGCGCTTTGTCAATGATTTCTCAGTAGTAATGTTTATTACCTGCTAGTTTTACCACTGCCCATTTATCAATCGCTTTCCATGTTCTATGTTCAGTCACAAAACCCCTCTCCTGCAAACTAAAACCCCGAAAAGAGAAGAAAAAAAAAGAAAGGAAAGAAAGAAAAAAGCAACTGTCAATAGGGCTTCAGACCAGCAGTGCTAGAACCTGCCCTCAACCCCAAGTTCTCGAACTGCTGACTCTTCAATAGCTTGATGGATGCGATGCACCTCGTCCTGCGTCAAAGTCCTCTCTGGGTGGCGGTAAACGATCCGATAGCAATGGCTGACCTTCTTCGTCCTACAAAACATAGACCAAAAGAGGACTCATAAATACATGTGCCTACAAATGCAAATACATGAGGCCAAACACTTACCCTCTGGATCATTTTTGTGGTCTAATTGTGTTCCTGTTGCTTGAAAATCAACTTAATGCTAAAATACACAGTCTGGAGATGTGGGACTGAGCTGAATTTTAATTTTTGCAGAGGCCTTTGCTGAAGTCTACCTTATACCTCAACTTGTATTGCGGTGGGGTAGCTTCTTACCAGAGTAAACAATCCCATGAGGAGGGCTGTGCTAACTAACACCGCTGAACTGCTGCTGACACCACAGCTCTCTCATTTCGGTGCTAATGGGGCTATTTGAGTGAGCACTGGGCACACATACCCCGCTCAGATCAGTGGGGCTGGTGGTGATGGGCATAAGGAAAACACCGTGCAACCTCTGTGCACTGGAGAGCGATGTTAACAGCTGACGTGGGGCATCTCACAGCCTTACCATCCAGGCCTCAGCCTGGGGAAGGAGACTGAACAAACAGCTGCAAAAAAGAGTAAAACATTTCTTTCTCATTTCTTTGCCTTCACTGGAAATTAGAAAGAGGAATAAAATGCATCTGAAGTATTGTGATGACCAAGTATCCATTTGTGGGAGAAGGACAGAGATGGAGGATGAAGGCAGTCATCACTCCCAAAGTGGAGCACCAAATGGCAGTGCAAAATTTCTTACCCTGTACTATGGAAAGAAAAAGACAAGGAGAACGCAGAAAAGGAATAGAGAAGAGGGAATGATGGGGGCAAAAAGTATTTAAGAGTAGCTGGTTAGGCAGAGACAAGTTAATGAAAACCCAGGACAAACTAGGAAGTTGAGTAAGAGTGAAAAAAATCTTGCTCTCCATCAAAAGCAGGATGGAGTACCTAGCTCTTGCAAGGGCACCTCTGTAATTGGAGTGCTTGTGTTACTGAACTTAAATGGCAGTTCTGGCATACTTTTTAGTGTCAAATGGAGCCCACACAGCTTCTTCTTTCAAAGGTAAACACTCAACTTCAGTGAAAGAGAGAAAATCTGAGGGGAAAAATAATAGGAGACCAGAGATCAAGTATCAGGCAGAAGGAGCTCCCAGACTGGCAGAACTCTGCATTTAATGGCACGCAAAGGCATTCAGCAAGCTTTGGGTCATCTCTCTCCTGACATTCTTTCATGTTAGAATCCATGTTTATTATGACTATTTGATTAGAACTAAGATTGTGTTTATAGACAAAGATAATTCTCAAGATATTAATGTCCACCTCAAATCCTACTAAAAACAGGCACAGATAGTTTTTACCTCACAATAGCTATTCGATACAATTAGTTTTTACCTCAGAATAGCTATTTGATACCAACTCTGTTTCACCCGACATGGGTGGGAAGCTTGCCCTGCTCCCACTGGCAGTTTACAACAAAAAAGGTAACTTCAAATTAAAGCATTCATTCTTTTTTGTGTGCTCTGAAGATAAAGCAAGTTAAATCTGGCTGGTATTGGAAAGGGCAAACTGCATTTCATAAAGTGTTAAGCTGACTGCAGTTAACTGCTAAAAGTCAGCCAAGAGCTTTCCCTGTGTGCAGGTTAAATGCTGTGGAAAAGTGATCTTTGAGAAAAGAGGGGGAGGTGTAACTGCTGGGAAGGTGTTGCTCTGCTCTGCTCCACCTGCAAAGCAGTCGAGAGGATAGACCTGGAAGCAAGTAAATGGAATAATAAGGGACTGGCAAAATGCTACACTGTCAGTAAGAAATTTGAATAAGACAGAGGGATAATGAATCGGGGCTCAACAGAAACAATTTTCAAAACCAGGCTGGCAAACATCACTACAGCTGGTAGTATTTTAGTTTTTAAAGGTGCTACAGTAATACACCTGATCAAAAACATTTGCAAATTGCTTCAGGTAAAAATCTATTTAGAAGGTGTACAGTCACAGGCTTAATCCTGAAGTCTTGTAAATACTGGGAATATATCCCATGATGGAATAGTCATTACCACCATTTAATGTGATGTAAACACAAGTTTGCTTAATGTAGGTGTAAGCTGATATAGGAGTATCTACAACACTGTTTCTTCATTGGTCATGGCTAACTGAAGGTGACAATTACTCCTGACTTGTGTTTCTGTATCCCCCCTCCCTCCATCCCAGTGAGCCATTCATTCACGAAGCAAATGAAATATATCAATGGGACAATAGTTTCTTGTGGGTGTTGTGAAAAACCAGCAGCTTTAGGAGGTATTTAAATTATTGAAGTGTAGAGGTCTTACAGAACAACACAGGACTAGAGTTCTGTTAGTTGCATTAGAAGTTAAGCATTGGTGTGGGAGAAATAAAATTGAGATACTTCCCCCCCTCCCACTTCCAAATAAATTACTAAGACACTGTGATTAATCCCTGCCATAAGCTGCAACTGAAAAAAATTATTGTCAGCAAATACTACCTTTGCTCATTCCCTTTCTTGCTTTTCTTTTGTTCTGCAGAGCCACAGACTGTTTGCCTACCTTAAAGATGGCTCTGCTAATGCATAATGAACTCTCTACTGCATGTCATGCTGCAGCCTGACAATAAGGAAGCAGTAGCTCTCCATCCTGAGAAACAAAATTTTGAGGCCAAAACCTAGAACAGCAGCTTCACTGGGTTAAAAAAAAAAAAAAGAAAAAAAATTTAGAAGCTTAGCAGTGAGCACATTGGGCTTTATTTACCTAAACTGCACCACCTGACAAGTCCATGCGGTTTGCAGTCACTCCTCTCCATTAGGCTTCAGCTGATCTTAGTGTCACAAGTCTTCTCTGCACCAGCCTGCGGCTTTCAGGTAATGAAACACAGGGAGTACAGTGAAGCACTGCTCAAAGGGAAAAGGAAGTCAGGGATTTATTCTGACGCCACAGGAGGAAACAAGATACGGACCATGAACAAACACTGGAGTGAAACAATGCCTAATGCTCTTTCATATGATTTTTGGAGGAAACAGCTTTGCCTCACGTTTTTCAGGATTGTCACACAGCTGCCTCCATGCGCTAGGGAGCTGATCCCTGCCAGGTCAGATTCATAGCATGGGGTCAACCTGAAGGTCAGTGTATATGTTTGGGTATTTCAGCTTGATATCTATGCATAACAAGAAATGAAGGGGCCTTAGTCTGCCAGTAGTCTAATAAAAACAACATGAAAGCAACGTGACACTGGCACCAGGGCTAGAATGAAAGGGCGTGTTAGGCAACAAAAATTAATACATGTGTGTTAGCTTTCCCTTCATGGGAAACCACAGAAAGATGCTTTAAATGCTACTTGTCTAGAAAGCTGATCCCAGAAGCTACCAACAGCAAAGCACTTAAACATCCTGACAGGGGAACCTGTCTCAGTCATTACGTAAGACTAATCCCTGGGTCATTTGGTAACCAAAATGTTGCATAAAGAATAAATGCTTGGCATTGATGTTGTTTTCTTCTACATGCAACACTGTAACAAGAATGAAAACTTCTGCATCCTGTACTGGCAGAGGGAGATAAAACAGGCAGCAGCGAGTGGGGAAAATCTCTACTTTTTAACTGTGTTTTACTCTCCATTGGCAGAAACTTCTGCAGCGAGGTTACCCCTGCTCTTACGTGGTGAGAACAACACAGAACTACACACTTTTCTGGAAAGCTGGATTGACTTTGAGGAACAGAAAACTAGAGATGACAATCACCCACAGCATGAAGGAGCAAAAAAGAGTACCATCTCTTTCATATGCTGAGCAGTTCACCAAGCAGTACTACTCACCACTATACCTATTATTCCACCTTTTCCTACATAATACTATTTAAAATTAAAGATCTGCGCACATGGTAGTACAAGTGTTTGAGATTATTTTCTCTCTGTTTAGTGAGTCATGTTAATGAGGTTCTTTGAGGGTCTCCCAATTCCTTCCACAGAAGTTCGTATCCTATATCTCCTCCAAAAAGATTAATTAAGTAATTCCCTTACATAAACCTTCACACAGTACTCAGTGACTGCTACACCCTTCACAGAGATCAACGTCATGCTCTGAGCATGCATGGAATGACCTCAACGAAGAGAAAGGCTTGTTTTATTTGCACCAGTGCCCTGAAAGCAGTGATGATGGGAAGAAATGAAAGTACTGTTTCATGTTAGTAGCATCCCAGTAGAAAAAGCCATGTGGAGAGCACAGCTGTGGTTTTGCTTTGTGGCTCCAGCAGTTCCAGAATGGTTCATGGTTTAAGTGGAAATGGGGAGGAATATTAAATTGCAAGAAGAAGAAGATATAATTAATTACCTGTTCCTTTTTGTTTCACGCTTTCAAACCACATCCATCTCCTATGATAGTAGACACAACTGCTAAATATCCTACCATAAATCTTAAATCGACAAGTGGCACTCTTTGCTAAGAAGTACATCATGGAAAATGGCAAAAGGCTTGTGCTATATACCTTATGTCAGTGGCAAATAATTCAATTACCAGGGTGATATGCACAGAGAATATAGCAGTAATTCTCTGAACAAAGGTCTTTCCTAAATATGCATTCTCATCAGTCCTTTCAAATGCTAATACTTCATCTCTCTGGAAGAGCATATTGTACACACAGCATATTCTTAAAAAGGGACATGTTTTGTTTAACGTGATTTTGATGCCAGTGAAAGGCATCACCTCCAGAAGAAAAAATTGTTTTAAACCCACAGAAAGCAGGGAATGGTCATTCCTGTCGCCCACCTCTTCCAGCTGATATCTGACAGAAGGATGGTTCAAAGATAGTTTAGGTCAACATAAGCATGTTGAGACTGTCAACATTATTTGACTACTGGGGATTTTTTTGGTGGTCACTTTGAAAGAGATGCATGTTCACTGACATATGGTTGGACTGAAATACTGTTCTTCTATTTCACAAAACTGAGACAGCAATGGACTTTTTGCTCTTTTCTAACTGGACTTGGTGGAATCTGTATCTGAATACCAAACCCTGAACCTGCTTGACCTTTTCATTCTTTCTTTACTATTAATTCC